AGTGGAAATAGCTAAAACATGAGGTTCTCAAATCAGACAGAAGTCTCTCCATTCAAGCACATATCAGGCACAGCCCTATTTAGCTTCCAAGATCAAGCATGTTCAGGGTGGTATGGCCATAGACATAGAACAGACAGTGGCTACAAATCCCTTCTCTCACCTATGAGCTATATGACCTTGAGCAAGTTGTTTCATTTCTCTGGAATCATTTTTTCTCATAAAGGTAAGATGATACTAATATCAACATTTAATATCTATGAGGATCATTGTGAAGCTTATATGAAATAATATATATAGGATGCTTATGATTCCTGGCACACACTAAAAAATACACGAAAGTGTTTTTAAAAATTGAGGTGACAGTTTAAGGAGAGTGCCGGTTACCATGACAAAGGCTTTAGGAAACAGGAAGAAATCTCATAATTTAGCCAAAGAGACCAGAAGGCATATTGAAGTGACTTTGACATGAGAATTATTGAGTTCAGGTGCCATTACCATGGTACATTCATTGATACAGGAGATATACCATATAATATGGATTACAGGATCGCAACACTAGTGTCTGATAAAAAACAGCAATATTGACTTGAAAATTATCTGAATACAGGCAAGTAAGTGATGCTATGATTAGATGAGGCTCCAATTATTTAAAAAATAAAAGCAGAAAGTTGAGGACAGGCTGGGGGGAAAGAAGCCAAAAAGAAGAAAATAAAATATGAAAACATCTAGTTGTCATATCTTGGAAGATGATGATGATGTGTTCATCTTAATTGTAGGTGTTCCTCTATAGACTACCCTCAAAGCAGCAATACGTGTAAGGAAAAACACTGGGCAAGTGTTCTGGAAATCTGGATTTTATCCCAATTTAGTTAACTTATTCTGTAATCCTTAGGTAAATCACTTCCCACCTTTGGATCTGTTTCCTCTTCTGTAAAAGAATGTTGGACCAGATGATTTGTTAGAAGTTCTCGCAACTTTATGATTTTATAAATTACATACAGGAAGTTTAAAAATGTTTACAATCCATAGCCTCTAAAAAGCCTTCCTCATATATTCCCACAGTCCTACCACAGATGTTTAGTGACCTTTCAAAAATCAGGAGGAACTAGACATACTTTCCTAGAAAAATATCATTTCAAACATCTCTCAAACTTCCCTGCTGTTCACTAACAGACTGTATTTACAATGATTTTATTGAAGGCTCTGTGTTCTAACTATAAAAAGCATAAAAATCTGAATACAGATTATAAATTATAAGACTTACTATAAAAGAATCCTTTTTAGAAAAGGATTAACTTAGATATTTCTTCTTCTACAACTCTTACTACTTTTATTTAGAGTTTTGTACAAACATTTTCCTACACTATTTTTACATGTAAGAAAAATAAAGTTTTCTCTTAGCCTACTACCAAATAACTTCATAACTCTTATTCCAAAGAGAATTTCTAATCTCTTTTATTATGGTTTCTAAGATAATTCATATTACTGTCTTGTTTTACATTCTAGTTAATTCATTATGCTTTTGCGAAGGAAAAAACTAAGTGATGAGAAGAAACTGTTTAGATACGTCATTAATAATAGTAATTTTAAAATATTTTAGTCTTGTAGTTTGCTCTACAATCCAATCCTCAGTATACTTTCCATAAGATATTTAAAAAAAAAAATGTTGGGTCCATTTTACCATTTTATAAAATTGAAAGCACTTAGCACAGTGGTACAGTGATTTAATAACACCCAGACTCAGATTAGGCTGGAATATAAAGCCTTTTAAAATTTAAATAACTATTTTCCCTTCTCTCACTCTCCTACCAACATCGTTGAGCGCAACTGGCATACAATAAACCTAACTGTAAAATGTGTTGTTTTAAAATATGTATACATATATAAAACTATCAAGAAAATTGACATATCCATATTAAATATCCATGTATGTCTCATAATCCATGTTATATATCAATGTGCATATCCATCCAGTAACATATCCATGGATTTAAAACCTTCAAAAGTTTTTCATGCCTCTATGCTAACACCATTCTCACATCTATCTCTACCTCTCCCATTTTAACCACCTCCCAGTCCAAAACAAACATTGATCTTCTTGGCCACTATACTTCGGGTTTTCTAGAATTTTATATCAATGGAATAACAGCACATGTATTCTTTTTTTGGTCTGACATTTTTCACTCCAAGTAATTATGTTGGGACTCTTCCCTGTTAAGTGTATCAATAATTCATACCTTCTTATTGCTGAGTAGTATTCCATTTTGTGGATAAACCACATTTTTTTTTGGTCCTATTGATGGATGTTTGGGTTGTTTTCAATTTTTACTTATTGGAAATGTTGCTATGAATATTCATGCAATCTTTATGGTAAATACCTACTTGTGGAATGGCTGGATCACGTGGTAGTTGGTTAGTTTCTTAGGAAATGGCCAAATTGACTGTATCATTTTATATTTCCAACAAGCAGTATATGAAGATTCCAGTCTTTGTAGTCCTTATCAACCCTTTGTAGTTTTTCAAATTTTAGTCATTATAGTTACTATGGCATGCAGTGATACTTCATTGTACTTTAAATTTGCATTTCCCTAATGACTAATGATATTGAGCATCTTTTTTCACATGCTTATTTTGTCATCCATTATTTCCTTTGGTGAAATGTCTGTTTAAATCTTTTGCCCAGCTTTTAAAAAGAGTTTGACTTCTTACTGAGTTGTAAGAGTTCTTAATTTAGTAGAAGTCTTTTTGTCAAAAATACGTTTTGCAAATACTTTGTAGCAGTCTATGGCTTGCCTTTTCATTTTCTTAAGTGTCTTTGGAAAAGCAGAGCTTTGAATTTTGATGAAGTCTACTTTATTAACATTTCCCCTTTCATGGGTTGTGTTTTTGTGTCATGTTTAAGAAATCTTTGCCAAATCCAAAGTCATTAAGATTTTTCTACTTTCTCCTCTATAAGTTTTAAAATGATTACTCTTAAATTTATGATAGCATTTTTGTTAACAATCGGAAAGAATCAAGATTCTTTTTTATTTCTTATTTTTTTACTTATTATATCCAATTGTTCTAGCATTGTTTGTTGGAAAGATTATCCTTTCCCACTGAGTTGTTTTGTCATAGTTGTTGAAAAATCAGTCGACCATATGTGTGCAAGTCTACCTCTGAGGGCTCTATTATGTCACATTGCTCTGTTTGTCTGTCTTTACATCAATGCCACATTATGTTAACAGCTATAGCTCTTAGAGTATCTTGAAATTAGGCAGTCTAAGTCATTCAAACTTTGTCTTCTTGAACAAAGTCTTGGCTTCTCTAGGTCTTTTGCGGTGCCATGTAATTTTTAGAATCAGCTTGGTAATTTCCACAAAAAGAATTTGCTAGGTTTTTTATTGGAATTGTATTAAGTCTAGATAAGATAAGTGAAAAATGAAACTTACAATCCACAAACATAACATATTCTTTAATTTCTCTCACAGCATTCTGTAGTTTTCAATTTTCATGTAGTTTACATCTTAATTAAGCTTTTCCTTTTTCTTATTTGTTTCTAAGTGGTATTTTTAACATTTCAAAGTCCAATTGCTAATTATTAGCATATAGAAATGCAACAGATTTTTTTGTAGACATTGTGTCCTGCAAATTTGCTAGTCAGTTAATCTAGTATCTTCTTTTATTATCTCACAGTATTTTTGCTTGCAGATAGTGTTACATATTCCTTTACAATCTGGATGCTTTTTATTTCTTTGTCTTATCTTATTACACTGACTAGAACCTCCAACACCATGCTTAATGGTCAAGGTACCAGGGGGGTGGAGCAAGACTTCCCAGGAGAGTAGACAAGCTAGGCTCTGAAGGATGAATGGAATTTTTACATATAATGGAGATTGGGGGGTACATTCCAGTGAGATGGCTCTTAATTTATGACAATTTTTATAGGCAATATTCCTGCAGGTCCAGGCCCAGGTTAGGTTCAATTTCAATTTGATTTTTTTTTTTTAGTTTACTAAATCATTATGTATACTCATTATTAGGCTCTTATTTTTTCAAATGTTTAAATATTCATCAAATGTTTGGTAATTGTGCAATCATTGCATGCCAGCAGTGTGCTAGTTGTCATGGAGATGATGGAGCACAAATATGAACCTGGCCTTGATGAAGCCTTCCTTACCATCTTACTGAAGCAGCTGAGAAGAAGAGTTAGAAGCTTAGGTTTCCAGTTCACTCCACTTGGGATTTAAATCTGGCTCTGTTCCTTACTGATTGGTTGACCTTCAAAGAATGGACTTGCCTACACCTGTTTCTTTCATCTGTAAAATGAGGGCATTAAAATGGATGTCCAAGGATACTCTGATGATTAAATAAATGAATAGCTTTTAAGCGCTTAGAAAACAGCTTGGCACATAAGAAAAGATCGGTGAATATTGTTTATTATTAGAGAGCAGGGCTAATTCTTCACAGAGTAAATCTACAAATGACTGATCAACAAGAGTGGTTGTCCAAACATAAAGAAGCACAAGTAGTTGTTTAATTTAGCGGCTAAGGATGCTACTGTCACAGATACCTGGATTTAAACCCTTGCTCTGTTGTTTAATGTCTTTATAACTTTGAACAATTTAAATAAGAGCAATGTTTATAAAGCACACAACAGGTGCTTAAAGGACAGCAGTTAATGAACACAGACATGTGAAAAGTAGTTAATATAGTTGTATGTTCAAATTAGGTGCCATTTATTAGGGCTTACCATTTCAGACCCTGTGCTAGCTACTTCCATACATTCTCTTTTATGCTTAAGTGAGAAGAGGGATCTGCAGGCTGTCTTTTGTCACCAGCGGGGCCCCTCGACAGCCCGCAATGGAGAGTGAGTACCTCAGGAGAGGTTGTAGTCGGCCGGGCCGTCCCCGCTATCCCCCACCCTCTCCACAGAGTCCCTGACCGGAGAAACCTGTCAGGCGAGGTCTTTCCCGCTGCCACAAGGGCACGTCCCCTCACAAGCGTTCGCCCCACCCTACCCTCTCAAGTGGGGGTACTGGCCTCCTAAGGTCCTTAGAGAAGAAAAGCGAAAGTCGAAGCACGCCGCGGGGAGGTAAGACCGGGCGTTGTCTCCAGGCAACGCGCTGAGGGCAAAGCTGTGCGTCACTGCAGTGCGACGGCATCGCCAACTAGGCCGCCGGGCCCGCCCCGCGCCGCCTCGGCTTACGGGTCTGAGCTGCTGGCTGGGGCCGCGCAGCAGCTGCCGGAAGCGCGATGCCTTGAACCTGGGGTGAGCTCCGCAGCGCTGTCCTTTGGTCGCTCCCTTCTTAGCTGCTCCACGACCCCGGAGCTGGAAGAATGAGCACTGGCCAGGCTTTGACGCGAGAGCCGGGCTTCCTGGGGGCGACAGGCCCCGCCCCGCCCGCGTTCTAGGCCTCTGCGTGGGGCGCGGGGATGGCGTGGGAGGCCCGTCCTTGGACGCGCCGTCTTAAACCTGGCGGTTTTCAGTGGCCAGGCGTGAGGGTGGCTCGTCCAGTTCAGAGGGTGGTCTGGAGCGTCGGGGAGTTTCTCTTCCTCTAGCGGGAAGCGCATTTGAATCGTGCCGCCGGCGCTGTCCACAGCTGTTGGTTCAAAGTGCAGGTTGCTCAAGAGGGGCCGTGGCGGCGAGGGAAGAGCGAGCGCTGGGTGGCCGGAGGGTGACGGGTGTGTTTAGTAAACATTGGTACTGTTAGGGACCCAGTGTGCCTCCGCCTCATTGAACACCCCAGATTGTCGGGGGTGGCAACTCTGAAAAGGCTCATTGAACACCCCAAATTGTCGGGGGTGGCAACTCTGAAAAGGCTCATTGAACACCCCCAAATTGTCGGGGGTGGCAACTCTGAAAAGGCTAAATCGCTACTTAGCGGGTCCTACACTTCTAAATTAACCTCGGTTGCTCCTTTTGCCAAAGGCTTGAGACACGTCCGAAACCAAACAGCGTTTCCTTGCTAAGAGTTGTAAATATGTCTGGAAAGTGTTTGTTACCTTTTAAAACGCGTTCTTCGGGTATTTGTCTCACGTTACAAAATGTGGACTTAACTATGATTGTTGACATTTATCCCTAGTCCCCCTTATTCACTTGTACTGTATGTCCATATTCTGACCCTATTCTATTTCGTTGTACCAGACGATTCCGTTCTTGCCTCTAGAGGATTTATGAAGCTACCCTAACACTTACATGGTTTATAATTCTTACACCTTCTGAATGCACGTATTTTCCCCCACACTCCTCCTTCCACTCTTCTCCTATAAAGCGAGCTCCATACATTCAGAATTTCATCTAGGGAATGAAGAGCCTCCGACCAGCGCTCTTAGATGAATCTTTATTGAAGTCGCCCCTCTGGAAAGTGATGCGTTCTGAATTCAGAACTCAAAAATAGTATGGATTTTTCTCCTTTCATGCTGTCTGCATGACTTTCTAAATATTTGCCTCTAGAATCTGTGTGTTTTCAAAATATGTTCTTTGTCATCTGCTTTAAGTGAACTTTATGTTTGATGTGTGTAGCTGATTCTCCTTAGTTTACGTCCAAACTTCCCCTGCACTTCTTCCAAAAAGACTGGGAAGGTCCAGGAAATTCTTGCAGATACAGTTAGTGTAATTCCCCAAATATGTATTTAGTAAAGCTCTGGTGTAACTAGCAATTGGTGTTAATTGCTAATCTCCGAGTACCCTCTAGTCTTTTGTAGTTTTTCTTTCTCTATATGTACTTTTATTATCATATTTGAGCCTAGAACAGACTCCCACACTATAGTGACTTTGCCCTGATCGAGTCACTGTGTGTCTGTTGTAGTTGCTGTTAATTTCTTGTCTTAAGAGCAGAGGATATCTGCTTACAGATCTAGAGTTTGCATAAGCCATAAGTAACAAGTAGTATCCTTAGTATCCTTAGGGACTTAGTTGTTTTTAAATAAATTCTATGACAGTGATTTGTAAATCCTGTTCCTGTGCAAAACTACTGTTGCATGATGTAGAAGAAAGTATTTTGCTAATATCAGGTAATATTTCCCAATTTATGTGAGCGCTAATTGGTGATAAAGCTTTTTATTTTTCTTTCAGCTCTTTTAACTTTGTTAATACTAGCAACTTTTATCACTGATATTAGAGCTCACTTGAAATATGAAAATAGTTAGCAATAATAATTATCTCATAAGAAGTCCTTACAAAATTTGATGGAGAATAGGTGCAGAAATTTTAAATACTACCTTACTTGTGAACTAGTCATCTTGTTCGGGCTTTTCAGCTTTGTTATAATAGTAAATGAGTTTTGGGTTAAATTTTCATGGAATTTTTGTTGGGGGTTTTTATGTTTGTTTGCTTTTTGCAATTATCCATGATATGATTTTTATATAAGTAATATTTGAGCTATAACCATTTATTAGAAAAATAAGTGACCAAAAAGAGTAACAAAGGAAAAGAAGTGAATAAGTGGGGGGAAAAAAAAGTAAGTGTATGCTACCACCTACTAGAGAATGTGGCATTTTTGGAATCCTTGATATTCTTAAGAGTTTTGAAATAACAGTTGTTTCTTTATGTGGAATATCTGTCAAATGCCTTTTGAAAGCACATAATTATTGTGCTAGAAATAACTAATATAAGTGGCACAAAGTATGGGAACTATTGGTTCTTTCAAAAATCTGGGCCAGAGATTTGTTTTTTAATAAATTCTATGACAGTGATTTGTAAATCCTATTCCTGTGCAAAACTACTGTTGCATGATGTAGGAGGAAGTATTTTACTAATATCAGATATTTCCCAGTTTATGTAAGTGTTGGCGATAATTTTTTATAATTTTTATTTTTCTTCCAACTCTCTTTTAACTTTGACTCCTAGCTGTTAATACTATTAGATGACTAAACAAGTCAAAAAACATTATAAGATAACCCTCTTCACTTCTAGATAGTTATGAATGATAAGAAATTTTTATTGACCTGAAATTGCCTGATTTATGTTTTTTGGCTATTCTGTTTTCTGTAACTATTAACAATAAATTTTCCTCTCCCACAAGTGAGCTTTTCAGATGGTTGAACAAACCTATCTTTCACATTGTTACTGAACTATTATGACTATCTAGAATAAATTGTCTGCTTTTCTACATTCATGACATCTTGTATGTTTGCCACAGTATGGTCAGTAGTTAGTTAGTGCCCTTTGAAAGCACTGTTGCTTAAAGCTGATTACAGGAGATTAGTGTTAGCTAATCATTACAGAGCAGTAAAGGTCTAAGCTCTGACTATGGGACATCTGCTTCTAGCAAGAATTTATATTATCCTAACATCTGTCCTACCTCCATTTTAACTTCTTTTGAATAAAACCCTCTTTTTAAATTTAACTGCTGTTAAGCACTATATGTATGTTTTTGAGCAATTTTCAAAGCATATTCAAGATTAAACTTTTAGTTATATTAAATATTCAGTTTCAGAAGTATCTCTTTCAGCCTTATACTGGTAATCATTCATTCATCACAATTTTAGTCACCCACAATTTGGGCAGACATGTAGTCTAATCTTTAGATCATCAATAAAAATGGTAAATAGTCCTTAGCTTGATGCCAGTTGTCCCCTCTCTACTTCAGTCACGCTGGCATTTTTTTTTTTTTAATTCAAGTTCCATATTCCTCCCTATTCTCTCTAGAAATTTTCACCATGCTTCTACCCCTCTTCTCTCCTTAATTCTGACAGACCTCAAATCAGATGTTTATTCAAATCAGACATCAAGTCAACTATGCCCCAGACACAAGCCTAAATCAAATTCCCCTTTCATAGGCTTTTAGAACACCCTGAATTTCTTTGACTTAGCCCTTTCCATTTTGTAATTATTTATTTATTTTTGTGGTTGTTATATCTTACCCACCATATCAGACGACCCATGTTAGCAAGACCCAAGTTTTTTTCAGTTTGTGATACTGTGAATATACAATTGGTCTTCATCCTTTTTCTGTACAGAGTTCCTAAAATCCTTGGAATTCCTTCAGTTAAGAAGGCTATAAATGTGTTTTTGTTGACATGGTAATTTTGGGAAAGCACCTAAGAGTGAGAGGAGCTTGTCCATGGAGCCAATCTGATTATTAGGAGGTTGGAACTTTCAGTCCCCACCCTCAGTCTTCCCCTGACCTTCAGGAGAGCCAAGAGTGGCTAGCGGCTCAATCTATGGCTAATGCCTATGTAATGAAGTCTCTATAAAACCCCAAAAGGATGACGTTTGATGATCTTCTAGACTGGGGAACATATGAAAATTTTGGGTGAACCACACAGAGGCATGGAAACTTCGAGCTCTTCCCACATACCTTGCTTTATGCATCTGCTCCATCTGGCTGTTTTTGATTTAATTCCTTTTATAATAAACCAGTAACCTAGTAAGTAAAATGTTTCCCTGAGTTTTGTGAACTGTTGTAACATTTATCAAAGGTGGGAGATCATTGGGACTTCAAAGCTTTATAGCCATTAGGTCAGAGGCACAAGTGATAACCTGGGCATCCATCTGAAGGTTGGAGGGGACAATCTTATAGAACTGAACCCTTAAACAGTGGGTTCTGTTGAATATTTCCAGTTAGAGAGTGTCAGAATTAAGTGGAATTGTAGGACACCCCACTAGTGTCTCAGAATTGCTTGTTGATGTGGGAACTCTTCACTCTCCCTCACCGCCCACATGTGTTGGAATTGGGGGCCAGACCCTTCATTGTTGTACGCCCGTAACAGCATAGCACCAGGTGCATGATACTTGCTAAATTTAATTTTTTTAATGGTCATATTTTGTGTCTCCATGACAGCATACAAGTATTGTCTCCTGATAATAATACAGTACAAATAGAGTACATTAAACTCTACTAGAACAAGAAGAATAAAGACAATAGTGTGTATGTATGGTACATGTCAGTGTGAAGTTACTGCCTTCTTAGGAAGACTTTTATTCTAATGTGTTCTCTATTTCAGGTTATTGGTTTTTTTACTAAGTTTTGGGGAACTTTTGTTTATTTTGGGGAACTATTCTTACTTAGAATAAAAATAAATATGCAACACCATGGTGCTTTGAGAGTTTACTAGTCTGTTAAATCCAGAAATTACTAATGTGAAGACCTTACAGACCTTCTCTAAGATCTTTGTTTCTCTTTGTTTATAGTTGCTATGAATCCACTTGGTTGTATTAAAAATACATAATTTTTCTTTCAACCATGTTTTTTAGTGGCCTGCTTCTTTCTGTATCTCTGTGATATACATGGCCAAGTAGTCTGAGATTCAAAATGGTTATTGTTGAGTTTTCCTTTTTTAGCATAATTACATTTTTTTCTATATTTAAAGTGAATAAAAGAATAAACCTCAAATACAGCACATTTAACTTTAATACCAAAATAAAGTATTACATGTTTATGATTATTAACAATTCTTCTTATAAATTGCTCTATTTTAAAATTAAATGTTTCATATTTTAAAGTTACAAATTCTCCAGTAAACTTTTCCTATAAAATTGTTAATTTTTCATCTGCTTTATATAATAAAAGTGTAAATTTGGATAAGATGCATGTGGGAACTCTTCACTCTCCTTCACCCCCCACATGTGTTGGAATTGGGGGGTGAGGGATCAATAAAATGGAATTTCTGTGCTTTTTTTCTTTTTCGAACTTTATTTTTAAAAACTTTAGCTATGTGACTTTGTTATGCTAACCTCTCTGTGTGATTCCTCAGCAACCCTTGTTCGTCACCTATGGGATTTAAATGCTTGACTGACTAGATATAAAATTCTTAGGTGATTGTGTTATACAGTGGAAGTAGAAGTGATCAACAAATATTGTTTGCTTTTAGTATTTTTATTACTAAATAGTAGCTACTATTAATGGTACTAGCAGCAGCAGTAGTAGTACTATAATAATTGTAAATTTGAATAGGAATTTTCACATTCAGGAAAACATCACCATAAATACTAAAAATAAAGACCAACAAAATCTTATTTTAACTATATTTTCAATGCCTGGTAATTTGACAAATCATTACTTAACAAAGAAAATTCTATCTAGAATGAACACATCCAACTTTTGTCTTGCCATAATGCATAGAATTGTATCCTTCAGAACTTTAGAATAAGTGGTTATTAAATGCTTTGAGATTAAAGTTTTCAGTCAATTTAATAACTTTTGGTCTACATTAATAGTAGATTATTGAAGTAGTGATCTTTCCATTTAACTAAAATATCACCATCAGATTAGAAGACAAGTTACATAAATTCTAAGTTGAAAACACCTACAGTAGTTAAAAAACAAAATTGCTTGTCTTTTTTTTTTCCTAAGTAAAAAGTAAGAGGTGGTTAAATGACCAAATATTTTACTTTTCTTAGATTTTTTAGACCAACCTAGTCTTAGGCAACTTGTTTATAGAATTTTCTTACTAAATACACTGAAATACCTGTGTGTGTGTGTGTCTGTATGTTCAGTGGCTTTTGATTTAGCATAAAAGAACTGGAGGTTTTATCACCCTCCCAATAACATACATGACTTGGTTTTCCACTTAGCTATATGATCTTAGAAAATAAACATATAAATCTCTAATTTGAAAGTAAAATCCTCATGTACATTTACTGAACTCTTACTTAAAGGTATTCCCAGTTTTTTGGTTTTTTTTTTTAAGATTTATTTTCATTTATACATACAAGAAGTGGGGTATAGATCAAAGGTGTGGCCAGAATGGGGGGCTGTGAGAGGGTTCACCAGAGATGGAATGAGGAGCACTACAGGCAGATCTACTGAAATATACTGCTTAGGGGAGCAGTGTAGCAGGAGAGGTCTGCTGCACCATGTGGATCAGCTCCCTGGCCTGGGATCAAACTCTTGCCACAGTGGCTGGTTATACTTAATCACGCTGAGACTTAACCCCTGTGCCATCAGGGAGGCCCTTTTCTTATTTTCTTGAAGGTGTGGTTACACTGTTTTTATATGTAAAATTAACATATATATATATATATTTGACAGGTACTATGTGAAAAACACTCTGGATTTCAAAAGACATCAACCATCATGGGACAGCAAATTTCAGATCAAACTCAATTGGTTCTTAACAAGTTACCAGAAAAAGTAGTAAAACATGTCATGTTGGTTCGAGAGAGTGGCTCCTTAACGTACGAAGAATTTCTTGGGAGAGTAGCTGAACTTAATGATGTGTAAGACTTTTTTTTCCCATTTTATTGTGTCCCTCAATGTATATTTACATTCCCTATGTATGACTACATGAGAGCTAGCCAGAAGGATTAATTTGTAAGCGTCATTTACCAAATATTTATTGAACATTCTACTACAGGACTTTTTATGTGACAATTTTAAAATATATAATAGGAACAGAAGAGGCCACAGGAATGAAGAATTGAATTTGTGATCCAGGCATATAAATCAACTCTTGTTTGAAAATAAGGATTAAGGTAATACATAACAGAAGAGCACTTGCCAATTAGCCACTCCAAAGAAAGGCTCCTGGGAGTCAAAGTGTGCTCAGGTTTCGTACATCAACCACATCAGCTGACTAGTGAGTAAATAAAGCTACTGTGTTTGTTCACTGAGCCATTATTTTGCCAGAAAAATACATATGTAATAATATTTGTCATCATTAAAGAAGATTTCATTTAATATTTTCTAATTAGCTAACATTTAGTGAATTTCTACTTCATTTAAATCTCAATTCTTGAACGGATTTCTATGATGGAAAATAAGTTCCTCTGCCTTCTTTAAGAGCACACCTACTGTAACAGACTTTTCCTTGTGAATTTACTCTTTGTCAAGGTTCTCTGTCACTGTGATCCCAACTTTCTAGGCTTTTCAAATATTGCTTTTTGTTTGTATGATTTTTTTTCTGCTAGTGACGAGTGAGATGTCACTTCTAGTAAGTTTTTTAGCACCCACATCACATCTAAGTGTGTGTTCTGTCTCCCTTATGGTATAATTTATTTGTGTCACCACTTCTTAAAGGTTTCTTCTTTAGTCTATTCACTTTAACATCACTGAGACCTTACTGTGTGTAAAAAACTCTGCTGAGAGTTGTATATTTGCACTAAAATGACTACCCACATATTAATGACAGTTCTCTCCAAGTCTGAAGTTCTCTCCAAGTCTCCTTCTGGGATCCTATATCACCTCTCCTAAAACCCATAAAAGTCCAAACGAAATCATCTAGCAGTCTAGGACCGCTTTGTATATAAACTTACCTACTCCCCAAGCTTTGTGATATCTATATTGGATGATAAGAAGCATACCTGGCTCTCTGGAATGCTTTAGATTTAAAAAATGAAATACTTGTCTTTTTATGAACATGGCTGGAGTCTTGTTATTAACCAGTCTGAAGAATAAAGTATCTTGAATTTTGAAATCATTTTAGAGGATCATTTATTTTAAGAACATTGTATTTCCTCCATTTAAAAACCCTAGAAAGATATACTGATGGGTCATATATGAATATATATATATGTGCATACACACACACACACACACACACACATAGGCAATTTACTAGAAGAATACATACTGAGTATTTGGAGAATCAGAAAAGGAGATTTTATATGTGTGTATTGTCTGATCTTTTATGTTAAAAATGTCATGAATTTTAAAAACAGCATTTTACTTTTTTTCTGTATTGGAAGCATTACTTTTGAGATATTCTTTTTATTTTAATAAAATTTTTTTTTAAGATTTATCTATTTATACATACAGAAATGGGGTACAGGCCAGAGGTTCAGGGGTGGTGAGAGGCTTCACCAGAGACAGAGCGGGGAGCAGAACAGGCAGATAGAGGAAGTACACTGCTGAGGGGA